TTTTTCCCACCCTAAGGTTATGTTTGAGAGCAAAAGGACTCATGTCTATGTTTTACCTCAGCCATCCAGGAATTAGTACAGTTCCAGCACTCTTGATGACAAAGTTGTAGGCTAGGCAACAGCTTCTACATATTATTGGCCCAATGGTCTGGGTGTAGGATTCCCGACTATCTGATTCTCTCAGCTTTTAAGGCCGAACCCTGCAATCCATGGAAACAAAAGACCAGGACAGCCCAAGGAGGGGGGGCAGAATTACTTCCAAACCCACTGGTTGTGCAAAATAACTTGAGTGAAATCTGAGTAAACGATGTTAAAATCTCAGCACAGCTAGGCTAACCAACTAGCATGATGACCTAGGTCAAAGGTGAAAAAAAATCTATTTTTTGATGGTCAGGTAGGCAGCTGAGAGACAATGAAGATATCACACCAGGCTCTCTCACACATAAATTAGTATTTTTCTGCAGTCAGCCCAGTTGCTAGTCATGAGATTCATCTTCCTCCCAGGAACATCAGAGCAATTCCCTGGGACTCTAAGCGCCCCTCTGGCAACCCTACCTGGATGGGCCTTTTCATCTGCTTCTGGCTGGTTGCTATGGAGATGCTGAGTTACTGTGTTAGGCTGTCATGACCATATGCATGCTGGGAGTCAGCGGTCTCTGGTCCAACTGTATGCTTACACAAAATATCTACAAACCTTGGAGAACGACAAGCCAAGTATATAACAAGGGATGAAGATATTCAAGAGGAGAGTATTATTATTTATTTATTATGATTTTATTTGTTCAACTTATATATCGCCTATCTGGCCAGCAGCCACTCCGGGTGATTCACAACACAAATATACTGTAAACACAACAAGTATTTGCCTTGTACAAGTTAAGGCTTAGGACTGAATTCAATGTCTTACTGAATTCAATAACCCTGTCTGAGACTTGCTAGTGTTGGATTTATTCAGTAAAGCATTTGATTTTTAAATATGTCTTGCTAAATGGAACCAAATAGTTTATTTTTGTTGTTGCTGATGCTGTTTAAATTATACTGATTGGAGTATTTTCAGATTATAATAATAACAAAAGACCTGTATCCTATCAGAATCATGGCCTCTGAATTTAAAAAGCTCTTCTTCCCGTTGTCTCATCTATGATGGAGAGAGTTTACACAATGATAGGGGAAACAGTAATCTTTTCGTGCTCAGAAGAACATAATTGTTATAAAGATGCTTTGCTTTCCTCCCCAGTCCCAATATTTCTGACCTGGCCATCAAAGAACAGTTCAGAAGGAAAACTTGAAGAAAAACTGGTTGAAAATTAATTTCTTACTTTATAGCAAGGATCAACAAAAGGCAGCCCATGGACCACATACAACTTTACACAGACATTTTGGCATGCCCAAGGCCACCCCAGAGCCCCCCATTTAAAAATAAATAAATAAATAAATAACATCCTTTTTTTTTAAAGACCTCTTTCCACTCCAGAAGACCTCCAGGAGCAGTAACCTTTCATGACCTTTCCCTGAAAATAAATTAGTAAACATTTTGTTTGGTGTTGCCCTAGGTTTGGGACCGAGCTGGAAAGAGAGAGTCCTTGGGGCTATCATAGACCAGATTGGCAGCAGGGAGCTGATGAGGTTTTGCTATTTAGTACCACCATTTTGATGAGATGGTTGGACAGTGTCATTGAAGCAACCAACATGAATTTGACCCAACTCCGGGAGGCAGTGGAAGACAGGAGGGCCTGGGCGTGTTCTGGCCCATGGGGTCACGAAGAGTCGGACATGACTTAACGGCTAAACAACAACAACCATTCTGAAGGTCTGCCTGCTTAGACTGGATTGTGATCAAGGTTGCAAGGGTAACTGGCCCAGTTGTGCAGTGAGGGGCCCTCCTCAACCTGGTTCACGAGCTGCCACAACTTTTAATATTAATAAACAGGAAGCATCCTAATAGCCACAAAGCCTGCAGCACTCTCCCCTCACAAGGATGTAGAGCCGTTGTGCCTGCAACTTCCGGTCAGTCATGGGAGAGTGTGATACCCACTCCCCGGGTCGTGAGGTGATGTTGGGAGTGCCGTCTCGCCCTAGAGCCTCCGTGGGCACCCAGACCGCACCCAAGCCATTTCCACCCCGGATGTTACACCAGGCAGTGGATACCGTTGATTTAGAACGGGGCATGAGGGGGTTAAGTATAGCTACCCAGACTCCTCTGGTTTGGGCGGGTAAGGGGGCAAAAGATCCTGAGGAGGGAGCTGTAGGAGAAGTCAGTCACCGACGGGCTGGGGAAGAAGGTGGATGGGAATGGGTGTCCATCCAAGACCCCTGGTCGGGCAAGTGGGAACAGGTGTGTCTCACCAAGCAGGAAGCAGAGGAAAGAAGGAGGAATGAGGCCAGGGTCCGTCCCTCTTATTGGGGAGAAAGAGAGACCCGAGAGTGGTGCCGAAAGTTAGTAGAGGAGAGGAAAAGAGTAGAGGGGGGGGAGAAGACCCGATGGCATCTGGAGGAGCTGAGGAGGCTGGGGTACTGCCCGGACCCTGGGAGCACCCCGGGTCAGAAACCACCTTACCCTGGGGATATGCAGGGCTCGAGGAGACGATCCCATTACTGATGACAGAGCGAGAAGACTTCGAACCCGAAGAACCCTCTCAGGTTCAGGCCGGTCCGTGGGCGTCGAAGTCAAGCAACCCGTTTGAACTGTCCAGGTTGTGCAATGAGGGGCCCTCCTCATCCTGGTTCACAAGCTGCCAAGACTTTGAATATTAATAAACAGGAAGCATCCTAATAGCCACAAAGCCTCCAGCACTCTCCCCTCACAAGGACATAGAGCCGTTGTGCCTGCAACGTCTGGTCAGTCATGGGAGAGCTTTACTTAAGACACAGGAAACAGGTATTCTTTGGATTGCACCTGTCAGAATCCCCAGCCAGCACTGAGCTGCAGCATGCAGAATATTATGGGCTATTGCTATCTTGAATTATCGCAAATAAGTCTCTGAGTTCTTTGGAGTTCTTTCCAAGATAAAGATAGTGTAGAACCTTGAATAAAAGCAAATATTTCATCAATTGGTCCAGATGTGATACTGTGTTTCATAAAGCCAGACTGCCGATGAAGCAAAATGGAGTTTTAGGTTCTACAGAAGGCACAGGTGAATAAACTGCAGACAAAATGGTGGCTTCCCCAATCTGCCAATTGCCTTTGGGTGAGCATAGACCTATTTTACAGACTTGGAACATAAAAATGTAAAGCAAGATCTCAGTTATTATATGAGCAAAACAAGAGAATGAACCTTGATATCGCAATAGGTTAAAAAGACTATACAGCTAATTTGTAGAAATTAGAGGGAGATGAAATAAGAGGTTCAGACTCGTAGAAAATCCTTGGCTTGTAGCAGCAGAATTTCTCTGAGGTAGAATCCACATTTTAAACCATCTTTATCTGAGGAAAAGTTCTAGAGATCCTACCTTTTCTTACCTGTTTGGCTTACCTGCAACTGTGTAGTTATCCAATAAGGACATTCCTCAACTTCAATCTTTATTTCAGTGAATGGATTACACAGCCGGTTTGCTTACTACAAATTATATCATGAATTTTTAAACCTTTTTTTGAAACAAGATACAACTAGCAGAAAAATAAATTAAAAGTTAATAAATTGAAATAAATCAAACTACACCTTCCAGAAAGAAACATTGTGGCTGTACAGTATTTATATAGAGAATTACTGCCCTCTGGTGGAAGAATATGTATCCTGTTTGTGTTTTTCTACTGCCTGATCAGAGTAAGAAATAAGAATGGTAAGAAGAATAGGAAAGAGTAAGAAGAATAGGCCTTTAGAGATGATTTATCAGAAATTACTTCAAAATACAGTGGTGCCCCACATAGCAATGATAATCCGTTCCGGATAAATCGTCATTATCCGGAATCATCGCTATACGAAACGGAAAACCCTATAGGAACACATTAAACCCTGTTTAATGCGTTCCTATGGGGGATAAACTCCCCGCTATGCGGAAATCCTCCATATGGCCGCCATTTTCGCCGCCCAGTATGTGAGGGAAAGGGCACGAAAACGCTGCGGGCAGCCATTTTTTCCTTCCGGCGGCCATTTTGGAACCCCCGATCAGCTGTTTTTAAACATCGCAATGCGAAAATCGGTAAGCGAAATGCTTACCAATCATCGCAATGTGATGTTTGCCCATTAAAAACATCACAATACGATCGCTTTTGCAATCACAAAATCCGCATCACTATGCGGATTCGTTGTTAAACGGGGCACTCGCTATGCGGGGCACCACTGTATAATTTATTAGATTACAACTGCGTGGAAATGCGGCAGCTTCTGGAGTCCCTGGAATTTGGGGAATGTTTGGAACTGTTGTCCAGAAGTATTAACATTTCTAAGTTCTGGAATGAATATACAAGGCAGATGTAGTGTCTCCTACATTACAAGGATTCATTTCAATATTTAAGCAGAGTTTTGTGTGTTTTGTACCTACACAGTCTCTGGTCAGGCTTGAAATGTTAGTGGTTGTAAATGTTACTTTCTGACATCACAATGCCCCAAATTCCTCAGAACAGTGTGGCTTCTAGGTTTACTGTCTCAAGGATTCTGAGACTTGCTACCAAAACATAATATTTCAAAGACAATATCCACTAGGACTCCAGCATTTACAATGGGAGGATAATGGAACCTATTCTGTCTTTCTTGACAACAGAATCACCACCTACAATTGCAAAAATACTTTTAATTATAAAGGCAAGTAAAGAAAAGTGGCAGAGGAAATAAAAACAACCATCAACTGGAGTACCGTAATTTATATAAATGCATAGCAGAGATACATATGGAATAATGATAATAACCCTCAGTCCTTTTAACAAATCTCTCTTGTTCCTTCATTTGCTAGGGTTGTTTCTAGATGGCATCATTTTTAGGTTCTTTTCGTCATAGTTGCTGCTTATGCCTTAAATCAGTGTTTCCCAATCTTGGGCCCCCAGATGTTCTTGGACTACAACTCCCAGAAATCCTGGCCAGCACAGCACTGCCTTAAATGATTCTCATTAGAGATGGGTTGGAACCTCAGTGTCCTTCCACCACCTCTTTGACTGGATCCTCCACTCACCAGCTGGAGCACGCTCCTTTCCTCCTCCTCCTATCCAACCAGTCTCCAGCGATAGCACTTGCTTTCTGGCCTCGCCTCCTTGGCTCGTCGCCCACCCAGACAAGGAGGAATGGCAGGCAACCCTGTATTCCTGCCAGGGATTGATTGAACACCCAAAGAGGAGGAGAGGAGCCCGCTCTGACTGGTGAGTAGGTCATTGGCCAGGAAGGCAGGGGGAAGTGAACATTCAGCGTCTGTGGTGCCGCACGTACAAACCAGCATGAACCTCCAAACCGAGGTTTGTGGCCACTTCTAATTCTCATATGAACATTGTATGCCCATATGCAACTATATACAGTATTGCAAAATTTTCTTAAAATAAGTGTTCTTGTAGCTGGATTCTTATAACTCACGGTCCTTTAGTCTGGACATTTTACCTGTTTTTCAAGAATCTGTGCCATCTTTTTTCACACTTGAGCCATGTAGATATTTAAAAGTGCACCTGCAATTTTGCAAATCCTAGAGGATATCTCATTTCCCAGACCAGGGACATGTTATGAAGGAAGTAGTCTGGATTACTTGCTGAGAATACAGCAACAGTAAAACCCAGAAAGACAGTGTCATTGAAGCTACCAACATGACTCTGATCCAACTCCAGGAGGCAGTGGAAGACAGGAGGGCCTGGTGTGCTCTGGTCCGTGGGGTCACAAAGAGTCGGACATGACTTAATGACTAAACAACAATAACAACAAACCCCAGAAAAGAGAAGGGGAGGGAAAGCACACTTGTGGTGTCTGGCACCAAGACATTTAGCAGTAGATCCTTTAAGTTCTGCAAGTTGCGAGCTGGGGTCTCCATGAATTGGATTTGGAGTTCCAGCACATCCCATAGATGCTCAATTGGATTGAGATCATGGGAATTTGGAGGTCAAGGCAACATCTTGAAGTCTTTGTCATGATCCTCAAACCATTCCGGAACAAATTTTGCAATGTGGCAGGGAGCATTATCCTGCTGAAGGAGGTCACTGCTGTTAGGGAGCACCATTGCCGTGAAGGGGTGTACGTGGTCTGCACCAATCTCTAGGTAGTTGGAATGTGTCAAAGTATAACACTGACTCCACCAGCCTGTCTTCTTCCCATAGTACATCCTGCTGCCGTCTCTACCCCAGGGAAATGACATACATGCACCCGGCCATCCACCTGATCTAAAAGAAAACGTGATTCATCAGACCAAGCAACCTTCCTCCATTGCTCCCTGGTCCAGTTCTGACACTCATGTCCCGATTGTAGGTGCTTTTGGCAGTGGGCAGGGGTCACTATTGCCACTCTGATCATGACAGAAAATTTTTCACATAACAGAACATGAAGGTATCATTTTTATTCTATATGACAGTGATGGCAAACCTATGGCATGCGTTCCACAGCTGGCACACGAAGCCCTTTTTTCTGACACATGTCAAACCTTTTGAAGTGGCTGCAGCTGGGATTCCCCCTTTCTCTTCCTGTTCTGGGTCCTTTAACTTCCTGTCTGTCCCCATGATTCCCCCTTTAACTTCCTGTCCGTCCCCATGATTCCCCCTGAAACTGCCACTTCCTGTTTCAGTTCTTGTCTTCCAGTCGGCATGGCAGCCGCTGGTTTCTTCCCCACCCCCTCATTTTGGGCTCTCGAGCCGAAAAAGGTTTGCCTCCACTGTTATATGACATTGTAAGGGGTTGTAACCATTTGGACTCTCACTCACACCAATAAATGGAAACATTCTTATATATTTTAACTTTATTGGTTGTGACTTTCTATTGTATACAAAAAGCAGAGGCAGCCATGTTGGTTGTAGGACAAATTCCAAAATCCATATTATGGTAATACCTTTGGCTCCCAGACATTAAACAAAAAAGTTTGACCATCAGAACTTAAAAGAATACATTTTCCTTCCTAAAAATGATATTTCCTCCAAGTTATATGACTCAGGAGCCAGGCTTGCAAATAAAGCCCACGTTTACCTTTCATTGACCAATCATAAAACAAAGCACACTAAGTGCAAGATAGATAGGTAAAGAAAATTACCTGCTATGAAAAACAGGCATCTTCCACTACTTTGGGGAACATCTTTGCCCAGAATGTGATAAATGTATCTTTTTGTCTGATCCTTATTGAGGCCTTGTGTGAGAACCCAGAATTTTGGGACATTTGACAGAGATCACAAATCCAGTTAGAGAACTCTGAGGCTGGGATTAACAGACTCCCACTCCTATAGCACCCGACACAATTTGGACCTCCAGCAACATTTGTACTGCTAATAGCTACTAAACTCTCTCTCTTCCCATTGTGCAGGCTTATCCAACTGTAGGGCTGGCACTGTAAAGGACCAAGGAATTGACTATCCACTTGCCACCCTGGACCATTACAGTGCCTTCACTGCTGCTGGACAAGCAGAGCTTGGGAAATAATTTTTTCATGACTCTGGAAAGTAAAGTGGCCATGCCGTTGGCATCTCCTGTAAGTAGTCCAAGATAGTTTGCTGCCTGCAGCAAAGGATAAGATGGTGGCTCATGCAGAAGCTGACCTAAGCTGACCTAGGAACTGCATTGTACCTAAGGGCAAAGGTCAGCTTACTGGCAGTTGAATCTTATTTTCACCATAGGAACTGCATTGTACCTAAGGGCAAAGGTCAGCTTTTGGGGTTCTGAGCGGGATGTGTTTCACACACAAAGATCTGTCCTCCAGATCTTGCCACTGCTCAGTGTCCCCCAACATCTACTGCCTGAGATGACCCACTCATTCTGATCAATAGCTGGGCCAGCTATCACCATCACTGCTAACTAAATTCAGGAATGGAGGGTGAAGCAAAGGCAGGCAGTTGCAGTAGCGCCATCAATGGAACAAGTATTGGAGAAAGTCACTGAGAGTTGCCTGTGGAGCAATTTGTGAATGAAAGCCACGTGAACGATCTTGTGAGTGAAGTCAATGAAGTTCTAAGCTTTTCACTCCAGGCACCCCAAAGTAACAAAGGAATCCTTCAGAGTCTATCTCTTATCTTCCCTGCCACTAGCCAGTGCTGTGAACATTGGCTGGAATCCTACTCTCATTTGTATTGTGGCTTGTTGATGAAGTGATAGGGCACATATGGATTGTGCACTTGGTCACATAACCAAAACTTAGCTGTGAGTCACATCTTGACACGGACTTGCTGTAGCACTGTGGTCCCCAACCTTGGGCCTCCAGATGTTCTTGGACTACAACTCCCAGAAGCCTTCACCACCGCTTCTGTTGGCCAGGATTTCTGGGAGTTGAAGTCCAAGAACATCTGGATGCCCAAGGTTGGGGACCACTGCTGTAGCATTAGCTGAAACATATACAAACATCAATAGCATTCTGGCTAGTCTGTTTCAAAGGGACTTGTCTGACTGCTCATGATTTTTCAGCAACCAAATTGCAATCACGATTGTTGCCAGGATCAGGCAAGTAATCCGTTGCATTCTGCATTGTTAACTTGCCCAGCTGCTTTAACCAACAGGCCAAGAAAATGCAAGTACAGTAGTACTGTGCACCGCATTGCTCTATTTAGCATTGATTTGTTACAGCTCAGGCGGCCATTTTGAAATGCCTGCTGTGATCCTTTGGCGTTCCTTCTGCAGCTCAGAAATGCCTACCTGGACTGGGTGGCTTAAGAATGTCTGCTGTGGGCCACCATAGTAGCTGTCTATAATATGCAGTCGTGGTTGCTGCCTGAGTAGCAGACAAGTGGACTAGGTGACAGAGGTGCATGTGGGTCTTTCTCCCTCCACCGTTTTTTGTAGTTTCTGCTTTTCCATGCCTAGAATTAGCTTGCTGAGGCCTTCCTGAATGTTCAACCTGGGGAGGGGTGGCAGCTGGAGAGCAAACCCAGCCACATAGGTTGAAGGACGAAAGACCCTTTTTTAGTGCTGTTTCCGTTAGCACTCCATTTTCTTGGAATGTAACATGTAAACGCTAAGCAGAGTAATCCTGTACTCTCTGGTTCCCCTTAGTGGCTCATTCTGATATTGCATTCTTTCAAGCATGTATAGAAATACAAAAGAGAGAACCAAAGAATATTTCGCTTTCCACCTAGATTTCATAAGAGAATCGTATAAAATCTGAAAAATGCCTTAAAATGCCCCTCAAAAGTGACATCTGAAAGTAACTGGAAAATATTCCACATTATATCTAAAAAAATAACCTTATTAACTATTAGTTGTCTAGTTGTAACCAAAAGTAACTAGTTATCAGTAGTTGCCTTACTTGTAAGTTGTTACTTCCAAACTCTACCATTAACTTGTTAAATCCATTTGCTGGGAAAGAAATTCTAAGTCTTGTTGAAACTTGATTACAGATTCAGGCTCTAAACAGGTGCTGGCAGCTAAGCAGGTTTATTGAAAAAATTAATATACAGCTCTTGGGCCGGAGTATTCATATAAGCCTGAAGCAGTTTTTTTCTCCTAGCTCAATGAAAGGAAAGCAGTGGGACTCTAGAGGGTGTACATAAGGGGGGCAATGCACAATTACATTACTCAACCTGAAGAAAACACACCAGATTTTTTCCCTCACTGGGATAGCACTTAAGCTTTCAGTAGGAGTCTTATCTAGAAGATTACACTACCCCATCCCACAAAAAAAGTTTATATTAGAAGCATATGTTAATTTGAATTTATATATTGTTTGAACAGCAAAAGTGATCTTGACAATAAATAGGAGGAAGAGAAGGTTGACATGTCTTCCTTAGCCTTAACCCTTGCTTCTTCATTCTCCAAAAGATGAAGAGAGCATATTTATTTTATTGATTACTAGTTACATTTATATCCTGATTTTTTTTTCCACTGAACTCAAAGTGGCATATGTGGCTCTTCTATTCCCCACTTCACCGACAATAAATAGGAGGAAGAGAAGGTTGACATGTCTTCCTTAGCCTTAACCCTTGCTTCTTCATTCTCCAAAAGATGAAGAGAGCATATTTATTTTATTGATTACTAGTTACATTTATATCCTGATTTTTTTATGTGGCTCTTCTATTCCCCACTTCACCTTTACGACCTGTGAGGAAAGTCAGGCTAACTAAGAATGATTTGCCCATGATCATCAGCCTCAGGACACAGTCAGGACATGCGCTCGTTTCCAGGCTAACCACTACATCACACTGGTTCAGCTTAGAGATGCTTAGTAAGTAAAAGGCGAAAGACTTATGCGATTTGAAGAGAAACCAGAGTAAGAATTGATTTCCAATTTTATGACAAGCGCTGGAATATTAATAGCTAGATTCTGGAAAGATAAAAATGATACTAAGTTAAAAGATTGGTATAATGAAGTATGGGACATAGCATTAAATGATAAATTGACTACTGAACTTAAGATGAAAAGAGGGGAAATAAGTTCAAATATTTTTAATGCTATTTGGGGTAGACTTATTGAATTTGTATTAATGAAAGGAAAGGGGAAAGCCTCTAAACAACAATCAATACAATTTTGGAAAAGAGGATCGCATTAAAAGTATTGCGCTAAAGGGGCCTGTGGATATGGGGGTGCACTGTGTTTTAGATTGTATTAGTAAGTATTTTGTATTCTTGTATTTGTTTTAGAAATTTAAAAAAGAAACTAAAACAAGAGAGATGCTTAGTAAGACCTGTCTTCAGAGTCTGGGGCATTTGAAGGTGAAGGTGGGCTACTTGGAATAGGGGCAGGGAAGGTTGGTTGAAAAGGAGTGACCGACTCTTCCAGTAGAGACGGAGAGGGAAGGATCTCTGATTCAGCTGGTTGTTCAGGGGAGGCAGCTGGAGCTATCTGCAGAGACGGTCCAAGGGATGTTGGGAAATTAGACCTTCTCTCTGCAGTATCAGGTGGCAGGTCAGTCGGTTGGCTTGCACTGGGCTCTTCCTTGGGCTGCAGAAGGTCCTTCAGGGCAGGTAACCATGAGAAAACATCTTCTGGAGCAGGGGCCCCAGACTCTACCTGGGAGAAAGCTTCTATCAGAGGTTCAAAGATTTTGGACATGTCAGAAAATGAAAAATCATCTTCATCAATGGTCTCTGGCTGTGCTTCGTCGTCATCCTCATCATCATCCTCAATGGCTCTCTTGACCATGAGTCTGATAAGGTTAAGAGCATCCTCCTCGGTTTCATCATGTTCGTCAAGACCGATTGGGTTGTCAGCTACATCATCTTCTGGTTTGTCATTGTTCTTTGGAGGCTCTTCCAAGTTGTTTTCTTTGGCCACCCTTGTTCCACCCGTTGTGGAATCCTGAGGAGACGCAGTCGCTGCACCAGGTGAAGTGGCTTCATCAAATTCTGTAGAATCGTCAAGTGGAGTCAAGCCTACTTCACTGTAATCTCGTTCAACCTCGTTGTCATCAAACTCATATTTATCTGGGGTGACCTCCTTCTCCAAGCCGCCTGCCTCGGATGCAGTCGCCACAGTGGCCGATGCTGCAGCAATTGTCTCTTCAGGCTTGTGAATACTCATGGGTTTCACACCTGGGAAGGAAAACACAGGACAAAGATTATGAAATGATGAACCCGTAGTGATACCCAGAATTCAATATATCAAGTTCAAGTCCAAAGACTACCCCATACATCCAAGAGTCTTGTGGCACCTGGAAGATAAACAAAGCCATTGTGATTCAAGCCTTAATAGTCTGGAGATGCAGATGCATGGAATGCCATCTACCTGGTTGACACACACATGGGTGTAGCAAGAAGGGGAAAGGAGGAAATATGAGCAGGAAGCTGATTGGGGAATAGAGCACCAGAAACACAAAGATCATTATGCTAAAGCTTAGGTGTATGTCAGATAATCACAGTGACTGTTTACAAACTCAGATAATAAACACCCTGGCACTGGTAAGTTAATAACTCGGATAATAAACACCCTGGCACTGGTAAGTTAATTGACTCCTATACAATGATGTTTAAAACCCTTTATCTCAGTTCAGGCCATAGGCGGTACAAATGAATTTTTCAACAGTGGTGTTTTTGGTTTTGTTTTGTTTTTTTACCAGTTGCATTTTTGACTTTTCCTGTGAAACCACTTTCTTGGTGACTAGGCATCTTAAGGCCAGCAACCAAATGCTTGGAAAACTATTACTCTACTGGTTTCTGAATGCTACCCATTCTGACGTCAGCTTCGGATCTGTTTTATTATTTTGCTGACCTGTCTATTTTACACAGAGGGCAAGGCTAATGCAGGCAGAACTACCAGCAGATCTGTGTAAGACATAAGAAAGGAGCGTGTGGTCTTTGATATGTTGTTGGACTGCAGGGCCCATCAGCATAGCCACTTGAGAGGGATGATGGGAAATGTAGGCCACCAACATGATGGGATGATGGGAAATGTAGGCCACCAACATCTGGAAGACAATGTATTTGCCATCCCTGGTGGAGAACAGATATGTCTCTATGCAGGTGTGTACCTCTGACTGCCGTATCCCTTGCCTTTATTCCCCTCTGAGCTAACTGCTAATGTTTCCTCTCTTCTTCCTCTATTCCTGTCAGACTCTCTGCACTTAATGCACTGGACTCAGTCCAGGAAAACTGACAACATAATAAATATGAAACTCTTTAAGGAATCACAAGACTCTTCATTGCATTTCAAGGGATGATCCAAAACAGATACTCCTCTGCAAATGGTTTCAGGCATGGCATTTTAGAGAAATGCTCATGAGAAGAACGCTGCTGAGCAAACAACAAACAAGTGGTATAGTCCCAGCCAGGAAATGTGTTTGCCAGTGTGCTGGCTGGCTCCCTTGTGCTCCACCTACGCTGTTGTTCCAGTTGACCTCACTGGCAGCAGCCCATGCTCCATCCATCCCACTCCACCCAAATGATGATGAGTTTCATCACTCTAAAGTCACAGGACAGGGGACAGTATTTGTTAGCTACCTGTCCTCATTATTCACACTTAACCAGCAATGAAAGGGTGTATATTTGGAAGTACAGGGGCTCATGATAATTCATGATAAGTCAGCTCCCCCCCCCCAAGGAAAGTACACAATGCAGGCAGCTGGATCAAACCATATCAACAAAATAAGGAGCATGTCTTTGTAAAGGGAATGGTTTTTAATTGCCCGGATGTTTACTTCCTAATGGCCAAAAATTATAAAACAAAGGTTAATTTGCCACTATAGAAGATAAGAAAGACTCTTGCTAAACTTGACAATCAGATGTTTCCATCAATTAAGGAATTTCCATGACTAATAATGGGTTATATTTAACATTTATTTTTGCCCCTAAGAGCACAACAAGGCCATAGTCCTTACACCACAGCCACTAATCAGTGGATGTTTAGCCAGGTAGATTTCAACTAGGTTATTAGCTCTTAAGTCAAATTCTCATATACATTTTCGTAAAGTTTCTTTGAAGATTTCTACTTTCAGTAACTCCTTCTGTAAGTTAAGGAAATAAGATGAGATTAAAAAGAATTTCCTGGTTGTCCAAATTGAGCTGTCACCTACCTACATAGCTTACTTTGACTGGCAGATTTATATAAATCCTAGCATTTACGCTGCTTACTCTGAGTAGCACTTTTGCTGTCATTTGTTTCTGCTAGAGAAATGGATAGCATTGGTAGCAAAAGAAATTGGATAGTATTGATGCAAAAGGGACAACGTTTTGGATCACCACACCTCCCTTTGATAAAAGTTACATTTGTACAATGTCTGCCTATCAGTGCTCAATGTCTTGACATTAAAGACAAAGGATTATTACCTGAAAAATGAGACCATCCATCAGCTGTAAACTTGCCCATCAGTATCTCTGTGGGGCAGCTAATGCCCCACTTGTTGAATTTCTGCCTGCCACAAAAACTTTAAAATGCTAGTCTAGAAAAGCAAGGTAGTGCCCCTAAATCTCAATGTAGTTCTTTCACTTCCTCTTCCCCCCCCCTTTAAATAGATTAGGGGGAAACAGTGGCCCTCAATATTTTGTTGGACTCCAGTTCCCATCAGCCTCAGCCTACAGAGCCACATGGCCAGCATCTTCAGGACCAAAGTTGCCACTCCAGTTTAAAACAATAAAGCTGTGACCAGAAAGCTGATTGCACAAAAATGGATAGGGAGTGATTATGATTATAGACTGTGATGCAGAATAATGTATCAATGCCATCCATGCAGGCAGCAGAATAGATCTTCAAAACAACCTGAAGAAGTTAATTGGAGACATTCCCCTAAAATAGGACTAAAAAATCAGAAATGGAGTTTTAGGTTTACAGCTGCTTTACAGTTATGTTGTTTGTGTTTCCTTTTGTACTCTTGCTGCAGATAATAAGATATTACATAGGCAGCACTTTATACAGTTGACCAAAATCACCATCATCATCATCATCATCATCATCATCATCATCATCATCATCATCATCATCATCATCATCATCATCATCATTTTAATTGTGTGCCATCAAGTCAGTTCTGACATATGGCCACCCTTTTCAGGGTTTTCTAAAGAGTATTCAGAAGCACTGTATTCCCAGCACTGAAAAATACAGTCTGCAAAAGGTCAGGGGACTCTATCCAGCCAAAAGGACCAGTAATCACTGCACACAAAAGACTAGCCCCAGTCAAAAGGACCAGTAATCACCGCACACAAGACTAGCTAACAACACCCATCAATCACAGTGATAGACCATCTCCCCCCCTTATCACAACAATACACCCATAGCAAAAAACACCCTGATCACCATAATCACACAATCTCCTAAAAAGGACAAAAAGCTGATCCCACAGCTACAAATACACTACACCAGAACATAGACAGAGTTCTGACTCCTGTCCTCTGAAGATGCCAGCCACAGAGACTGGTGAAACGTTAGGAAGAAAAACCTTCGGAACACGTCCAAACAGCCCAAAAAAACTACAACCAAACAACAACTATTCAGGAGGGGTTTACCCTTCCCTTCTTCTGAAGGTAGGTCTGGGACTGTGCAGCTCGCCTAAGGCTACACAGGCTGGCCCTTCCCCAAAGAAGAACAGAGCAATCCAGCCAGCTAACAGTTGTGTGTTGTTAAGTCGATTCTGACTTCTGGTGACCATTTTCAGGGTTTTCTAGGGCGAGAGTACTCAGTAGTGGTTTGTCATGCTATTCTTCTGGGTTTATCCTGGGACTGAGAAGCTTGCCCAAGGCCACACAGGCTGGCTCTTTTAGGATGTACCATAGGAAACTGAGCTCCTAACAGCTACCTAATTCACTAAACTATCTAGCCAGCTCAAAAGAGTAAATACATTTGGGCAAAAACCCAACTCTAGATGCTCTATGGTGTTCTTGTTGTTTAGTCGTTAAATCGTGTCCGGCTTTCTGCCATCAGAGTGGTATCATCTGCATATCGGAGGTTGTTGATATTACTTCTGGCAATCTTAATTCCGGTTTGGGATAGGGTTGCCAGATACATGGGTACTAAAAGGAGGACATAGAAAGGCACAAAGGAGGACATATTGAATGCTTCATTTGAATCGTTCCAGATTAAACCCGCAATCAATACAATTTGATTACAATAGCTGCCAATAAATGTCTCTTAGTGAACCGACCAAGAAACAGTCATGTTAAAAATTAAAAATAAATTCAATGGAGGGGGGAAAGACAGGGCGGAGGGGGGGTCCTTCCACCTCTCCCCCTCCCATCCAAAATTATAACAAAATATACAAAAGCCTGACATTTTAAAGGTTTTTATCTTTGCCTGCCTGACGGAGGACATTAGGCTAAAAAGGAGGACATGTCCTCCTTTTGCCGGACAACTGGCAAGCCTAGGTTTGGGATTCATCCAGTCCTGCCTTTTGCATGATGTTTTCTGTATAAAAGTTAAATAAGCGGGGAGACAATATACAGCCTTGTCATGCTCCTTTCCCAATTTTGAACTAATCAGTTGTTCCATATCCAGTTCTATCTACAGTGGTCCCTCACTTAACGATTACCTCATTAAATGACGAATCCACTTGATGATGAGGTTTTTGCAATCGCTTTTGCAATAGTAAAATGTTGTTTCAAAGGGCTTTTTTTGCTTCCTGATCATTGGTTCCTGAAGAACAGATTCAGGAACAGATTCTTTGCATTACGACAATTAAAAAAGCTGATCGTCGGTTTTCAAAATGGCCACCCGCTGCGTAAAATGGCTCCCCACTGTGCTTTAGGATGGATTTTTCACTGCACAGGGAGCAGAAGATGGCCGCCCTATGGGGGATCTTCGCTGGACGCTGAGGTATTTAGCCCATTGGAATGCATTGAACCAGTTTTCAATGCATTTCAATGGGCTTTTTATTTCACTTGATGAGGATTTCGCTCTACAGCGATTTCACTGGAACAGATTATCCTCATCAAGCGAGGCACCACTGTATAAGAATTCTACCGGCTCTGATAGATCTCCATATCTTTCTTAAGATCCAAATATATTGTAAGCACTTCAGATGGATAACATGAATCACAAACCTGAAAACCTGGCAAGTGGATCCATGTGCTCAGAAGGAAGAATAGAAAATGTTATTTGCAGTGAAGTGTAGGCTGCCCTGCTTGCTTAACTGCTGGATACCACAACGAGTCATTAGTGGAAAAGTATCAATAAACAAAATCGACAACATAACTAAATCAAAGCCACATGTAACCTACTGCAGTATGTAACTCTCTTACTATACTTATATAAACATGACAATAATGATCATGAACTCAAGAACTACTGTAGACTAGTTGTGAGTATAGCAAATTAAATATGGTGAAGGCACAAGTATATAGAACCCTCTCTACCTAACTGTGTCTTCTCAGATGCAAGCCCCATTGAGTGTTTAATGAGAAACAACCAGCAGCACACCAGTCCCATGGAGGCTTTATCTTCCAGTTGATAAAATCACTTATTCATGTAGCTTCCTTGTGGACATAATCCTTTCTTGTAAAGCATGGGAATGCAAAGTATTCCTTCCCAGTCTTACTTGACTGATGCTCCCAACTTTCCTCATCACTGAGTAGGCCAGCCGGGGTGCTGGGAATTGCATCTGAAAGACTACATTTCCCCCCCACTCTGGTGAAAAAAAAAGCAGAGGGCATGTAGAATTAACTGAATAGTAATTACAACAGTTGGAATAAAAGGTAGCTTGTGATTAGGAAAAGGTGAATCTGCCAATAAAAATGGACAGGTGCAATTTATATGATACTTTTTATCTTTATTTACATCTAAATAAAGATACATAAGATAACGTGCATATTTACAGACTCAGCTTTTAAATAATTGCTCCTGTGCGGTCTAACCCTAATATTTGCTAACAAACCCTAATACTTGCTGTCAAGTCGGACTTAAGTTGCTCTGGCAACGTGTGTGTTTTTTCTCAATGACTTGGACTTGTGACTTGGAAGTCACCCACACCTCCCTTTTCTTCTGGGGGAGGGAAGCTTGTTTTTAATAGGGAATTGGACTTGAACTTGGGGCTTGAGACTTGGTACCAAAGATTCAGACTCGGACTTGGGACGCTGACCCAGAGACTTATATTCCTGCATGCTCCCAAGTAAATGTACTTAGGGTTGCTCTCTTATACAGTAGAACAATTCTAAACTTGTGGCAGGTGCGGGGGTGCGGAGGGGAGATTAAAGTGATAGATGGTGCATCAGTTCCAAAGCATTGCCAAACTGTTCTTCCTAGGACTTGAGACACAAAAGGTGAATTCTTCCACTCCACTTTTCCACGGTTTTCTTGCCCACAGTAGTAGATATGATAATCGTCCGAATTTAATTTGCCAATTCCCATCTATTTTAGTTCACTGACACCCAGGATGTCAATGTTTATTCTTGCCATCTCCTGTTTAACCACATCCGGCTTACTAAAGTTCATAGCTCTTACATTCCTGGTACCTATGCAGTATTTTTCTTTGCAGCATCGGACTTTCCTTTCACTTTCAGCACGTCCACAGCTCAGTGTCCTTT